AGTTTGTCCGGAAATACTCTAAATTGTCATTGGCTTAGTTACCTAAATGCGCAACTTTGCTTCAATAGACTTCGTATCTCTTATCGTTTCCGAGATCCCAAGAGTGGAAGCCGAATTTCAAACACCCAATACACATTGTGAATAGCTCTCATTTAAAATATAGTTCTGACAAAAACTACCCATCCTCTTATATTCCCATTTAAAAGCGCAAGCGCAAATTAGAACCCCAGAAATTTTAAAAAGCTCGGCTAACAGTGTTCTCACCTAGAACAGGTACTAATCACCTAAAAGCCGTATAGTCACATAAAAGTGACGTGATCGTAATCCGTATAATTGCAGTAATAAACCATCCGAGCAATAGCCATTTGTTAGGTGCGAGAACGTGATGTCTACCAAACAGGCAGCTGTCGAAGCTCGCGCACTTTCACATTTAAACCAGCTAAAAGGGAGTGTTTATCTAGGAGAAGAGCTCGCACATCGTAGACGCCTGTAAAATAGATGGTAGCCACAAGTATATCTATATGAAATTATAGGTTTCGGTGTATTAACGCTTATAGTTACATAGACTAGTAGTAGTAGTAGTTGTAGTAGCAGAATATAATATATGGGGTTGTCCAAAACGGACGCAGGAAAGTAAACGCATATTAAAACAAGAAAGATTGATATTCAAATCAAGTTGGGTACTTTATTTTGAAGGTTCATTTATACCATTTATGTATGAAAAATAATATCGCTCAAATGATCACTACGACTGCATTTACAGACGTCCACGCGATGGTTGAAATTTTCAATGACATTTTGCAACATGGTCGGTTCTATGGCATTTATCTCGGCAATGATGTTGTTTTTGAGTTCTTGGAGGCTGGCTGGTTTGTTGACGTAGACCTTGCTTTTCAAATATCCCCATAAAAAGAAGTCCAAGGGAGTCAAATCGCACGATCTTGGTGGCCATGGCACATTTCCTCTGCGCGAAATCACGCGATCACCGAAGAATGACTGCAATCGATGGATATTGACGTTGGTTGTGTGGCATGTTGGAAATAAACATCGTCCATATCCATTCCTTCAAGTTGCGGCAAAAAATAGTCCTCTATCATCACGTGATATCGCTCAGAATTGACGGTAACGGCGTCCCCGGCCGCATTTTCGAAAAAGTAAGGTCCGATGATGCCTTTTGACCACAATGCACACCACACAGTCACTTTTTGAGGATGCATCGGCTGCTCTTGATACTCACGGGGATTTTCGTTTGCCCAGATGCGGCAGCTTTGCTTGTTTACCGTCCCGTTCAAAGTGAAATGCGCTTCGTCGCTGAACATGATTTTTGATGAAAAATTGGCATCAATTTGGCGGTGTTCAAGGAGCCAATCTGAGAACGTTCGGCGCGAAAAATGGTCGGTCCGACGCAGCTCTTGCGTCAATTGGATCTTGTAGGCGTGTACATTCAAATCCTTGTGGAGAATGCCGAGCAAACTGGTTATCGAAATTCCCAATTCTTGCGATAGACACGTTGTTGATTGTTTCGGATCGTCTCTTACACTCTCCTTCACAACAGCAATATTTTCCGGTGTGCGAACGCTCCTTGGCCGGCTAGAGCCTGGCAGATTTGCCATAGAACCTGTTGCCTCGAAGTTACGCACCAGACGACCGATGGTTGTTTCGTTTGGGCGGTTGTTGCGACCGAAATGTTCACGAAGCGCGCGAAACGTGTTTTTTATTTTTGCACCATTTTTGTAGTGCTCTTGAATAACTTTAATGCGGTCTTCAATCGAATACGACTCCGTAGCGATCAATGGTAACCATTCAACTAACAAAATGACATGTCGGTGACAGAAAACAAAGATGGCGTCTATGTCAAATTGAAGTTTACTTTCCTGCGTCCCTATTGGACAACCCTTTATAGGGACGGTAGTTGGGGAGTCTATGTAATGATTTTTACCGGAAACCTCAATGTCTGAAATGCCACCGTCAAAAAGATAGTAACTATAGCTATAATACTATCTATCACATTAAGTGATCCTGACTATCACACCAAATAAATTCCATATTGTCAAATCAAGTGCTCTGAAGGATTGATACTTATTAATACAAGTAGTGGTTTTGATAATCACCCAGACAATAAATAGTGATACGTGGAAACGACAACCACAGTTTCATAAACTCCATCAATAGTGCTGGTGTGCCTATGTACGTTTGATTTTTTCTTCTCTTCTCTTATTGACTAGTTAAAACTAGAATTTCAGTTCAATCAATGACAATAATCAATGAATTTTAGGGAATCTCACAGTAGTATTTTATACTTATCTGCAAACTACAATTATGCTCGCTGTTCACAGTAAAATATAAATTGACCGAATGACAAGTCTAAGTGCACATGCTTACAATATTTACACACAAGGTGGAGGTGATTTTCCTTAATGTATCTCAAAAGAAGTTTTCTAAAAAGTAAAAAAATACAGGGAATATTTCTGAAACATGATACAAAGTTATAGGATATGCAGTTATGTTAATTTGTAACAACAGTTGTACAAGACAGATAACCATCTATATTGGTGAAATATGAGCTGCAGCATCATAAGCAGCATCGTCGTTGAGTCTCTCTTCCATAGGTGACGGTAGACTAGCAGCTAGAGTGTCAGCAAGTTGTTATTTTGTCGGTTTTTGTTTTACATCATATAGATTTTTTACGTAATAATCCTGCGGATGTCATTAACTTCAAATCTACTTGGATAAGGGGTAATTACTAATTGAAGAATAATATAAAGAACTTGTAAGATCACAATTTATTTCTATAGTGAGTAGCATATCGTGGTCACAGACCACACATATTTTTAAGATTAAGCTCCAAAAAGCGTCAAGCTTTCGCATAGTTATACGACCCTCTGGCAGGCCTTAAGTAATTAATTTGAAGCCGTGTGTAAGAAATATTGATTTCTTCAAATTAAACACGCATTACAGAAAACACCACGTTTGATACATATCGTTATTCCAACAAGCAGAGAAGTGATATTTATGCGCAATTGTAGGGATTGCAGCATCGAAAAGGCGCACGCCTATAAAATGCCTTCTAATACAATTTTCCATGCAGTGCAATTTCATCTGTATACGGTGGTATCAAAAAGACGTAGGTTTTGGCAGAACCATCAATTCACTAATTGGGCTTATCATGAAGATATCCACGAATTGTTTTCATACATGGTAGCCTTATTATTCTGAAGTTGTAAACCTACTTGTCATCAATATTTGATAACTAATTATAATAGATTTTGATACGTACTTTTAATCCTTGAAAAAATATTACTGCAGTAATTGTACTTACTTTAAAAGCAAAAGCAACGATCAGACTGCAGCAATAGAAATGACTCTTGTTTTTATTTGTCAAGAGTTTTTTACAACTGACCACGTAACTTTACTTACATCAGTAAGGAGATGCATAAATCTGGAGTATCCTGAACGTTACGGCTTGATTAGCAACAGGTAGTATGATTTCCGACAAAAGCGATCCACGGAGTCATATTGTGGGGCAGAGGTCGGTGCTTTTGATATCATGAAAGCGTTCTATCAGCCATGGCATGCTGCCCACTTATACAAAATTCTATCACATGGCCTTCCACAGCAGCTTCCTCTCTGGCCGCAAGATATCCATCGTAATTGATGGGTCCATCTCTTCATCCCACAATGTCAATGCGGGTGTTTCCCAGAGATCGGTCTTGGCTCCGACTTTGTTCCTTTTACATATCGATGACGTCCTTTCCTGTACGATCAATCCGGTCAAAAGCTTTGCTGATGGCAGCGCTCTACATGCAGGAATTCAGGGTGACAAGCTGGTCAATGCCGGTGAGCTAGAAGAACGAAGACTAAAAGCGACTTTCTCTCTGACGAGAGACCTGGATGTTATCACTGCGTGTGGACGCAACAATCTGGTACATTTTCAGGATTCCAAAACACAGTACCGTACCTTAGCCAACAAGACGCGCCGTAGTGGCTCATCCGGTTTCGATGGATGACCAAGAGCGGTTCGTTTAAGCTAGGCTATTTGCTTAGGGCTAAGGAGTACTTTTTTTACATAACCTCCCCACTCTGTACAAGGCTAAAATAAGACCTAGCCTCAAGCACTGCTCACATGACTACGTTATTCATGCTCAATGCTGTGCAGAGGGGTGCCGTCTGACTGATCGGTGAGTCTTCTCAAACGGACAGTCTCGAGACCCTTTCGCACCGACAGTCTATCTCTCGTATACTGCTACGTCAACGGGCTTTGCTCCATGATGCCCTCGCACGATTTGCCAGCTAGACGGATCCGCCTGACTTCGGCCTCCCATTCTAACGTTCGGCCAGAACTGGCCTGTATGACTGCTCCTGCATATAAGTACTGTGGAACAATCTACACAAGGAGGCTTTTCCCAATTCTACTAACAAGGTTTCTTTAAGCCCCTCATAGCAGCTACGGTGCCCTGGTATTTAGGCTTCTGCCTGCGTGAGTGCAACGGTACAAAAAGGCATGTTTTTTCGTGATGTACATGCCATGTTACAATCATAAAACAAACAACTCATTTTTGAAATTCGCAATTGCGATACTACTTTGCCAATTGTCATGTAAGGTAAAACAGAAACAAATCATATCTCAGTAACTTCAGCAGATGTAGCGGAACATTAGGATTTTATATTCAGAGCCACAAAAAAAGTCGGAACGACCTTTATGGGGAGACACAGAGCTGTGACAAAGTGCTCATACAAAGAATACGCAACTATTGGATCGACCTTTTTCAGTCTTGGTGGATCACCTGATGTATTTACTTCCTTTCTGCGTCGTCGATCAAAAATGCTGCCTACCTATCTGCTATCTGCGCGTTGCGACACCGCCTTTGTAATTGGCGGCGTTCAAACGTGGCCTCCCTTCCAAATCAGCAACATGCACTTTGCCATTTTAATTAAGTAAAAGCCCACTTACCTTGGCCCTTTACAAACTAGCGTCATTCGCGAAATTGTCTAATTTCCAGTATCCAGACATCCATGAAACCAAGAGCCATCTTACAGCTGTTAATACAGTGTTAATACAGGTAAAGCGAAGCTCAAGAGTAGGAAAAGTTACTTCTGAGAATGTAATGGGGTGCTTCCCAAAAGACGTGTGCACTCTGTGCACTGCTGAGACAGAATGCAAGAAGCATTACAACTGTCAGCAGTTGACAGTCAAGAACTATATCAATAACAATACGTCTTTACTTCCACTTTTCACAATGAGACAGTACAACGCTATAAAAAAGAATCACAATTATGCCAAGATAACTCAGGTGGTCATGAGGTGTATTCGTTATCCTCATACTTCTTCGTCATCCCTATTAATAATGCCCTTTCTCGTATTTCTCATTATATCTCTCCAAGGATCATCTGTCAGATACAAATCTGAACAAATTGTCGTATAAGTAATGGAAAAAAATATCTGTGTTATCCGGAACAGTGATGTATTTTGCAGAATTCAATTTAACGTCAAAACGAGATTCTGATGCCCGACGTTTTGAGGTCATTATTGGAAATTCATCCGTTAAAGTTGAGCCGAAGACAAACATTGAATCAAATAAATTACTATCGGGATTTAGTTTTATATTCTACGTCAATTCTAATTATGTAAACATTTGGTGATGAAAATACAATACGCATGTCAACATGGAGCTTGGATAATACTGGGACTGGTATAGAATGGTATATTTCGACATAGGTGTCACAACAGATTAATCAAAACAAGTTAATGCCATACACAACCCGTAACAGACAAAATAGTAAAGTAGCACTGTCCGATAATTTTTAAACAGCTGGGCCGATTTCCATCAAACTACCTCGATAAACAAAGCTTTCCGCTAAAGAAACAGCAGTCAAATAGGTTCTTGCTGATTCTTCATTATTTGATTGAGGAGGCGCATCAAAGTATACCATGATTAAACAGACCAAACCGTATCAATATTAACCCCAACCGTACGACGCTGCTCCCAGCATAGAAGAGCTGCGCCTGCGCGCTGCACCGCCTTTACGACAAGTTCGAGAACATCGAACGACAACCGTCCGCACCGCGCAGCAGTGTTACCAGACCTAGGGAAATTTCCCTATATCTAGGGAATTACGACCAAGCTTAGGGAAAAAGGGGGATTTATTTAAATTTTTACAAAATCTATGGAATTCTAAACTGTGTAAGACAATTTTAAGCAGCAGGGACAAAAAATGAACGAGAGATAGAGAATAAACTAATAAACAAATATATTACTTTTAAAATACCTTCCGATTGTACCTATAAAATATGATTCAAAATATATTAAAATGTGTGAACACCAAATTGTATCAACAAACCGGCCGGAAATCATAACTCATAACATTCGGAGAATTACTAAATGAAACGCTGTGGTTCCCCGTCGGTGATTCCTCATCGGTGATTCCCCGTCGGTGAACACCAGAACAGTATTTTACATATGGGAAAACACCTGGGATATAATATAACATATAAACCGCCGGGTGGTTTCTGTTGCATTTCCTGCTGTTTAAATGTACTTATACGAATTGTGTTCTGTGCTAACTATGCCTTAGAATAACTATTGTTTATAGTTTGTGCTCTAAAATTATTAACAAATAACCATTAAAGTTTTTCGACATTGAACTTATTTGCCATAGGTAAGTACCTATTTATTTATTATAAAATGTTTACTTTTCCAATTATTATACTTGATCGGGGAGGTTCTTCAGAGTTTACTCAGAAATTAATTATCTAGTATTAAAGTTAATGAAAAAGTATTTCTATAAATTAATGAAACATTGATATGTTAGACATACATATTATAATGTGTATATATATGATCTATGTATTTTAAACCAAACTTCTAAATTTGTTTGTTACTGCTTCTTTATAATCACAGATCTAACATCATGTCCTCAATTACACCTCAACCATCAACTTCTAAACATGCTGATGAATTCGAGTCCTCACCATCTTCTTCTGAAGAAGCTGGACACATAAGAACCTGAATTTAACGGTTGGGTAAGGAGCAGCAAGAAAGGGTGGATGCATTCTGCAAGGCATGTAATAAAGATTTTATATGTGGCAAATCCAAAATCCAGAAACATTCTTCAGGAAAACAACACACCAGATTGGTAAAATCATTACAAACACAAAAAATTTTGACTGATATGAAATCTTATATGGAAAAAATATCTTTAAATAACAAAATCAAAACAGCTGAAATTCGAATTGCAACATATGCAGCTGAAGATAACATTTTATTTAATACTTTAGACCATTTATCAGAACTTATTAGAATATCATTTGAAGATCAGAGATTGCAAAAATTTCACATGTTCTCGCACCAAAGCTACAGTTATTGTTAATAATGTTTAAGGGCAGTGCAGTTTTGAAAATTCTATTAGTTTATTACAAACGAATAAATTTTCATTAATTGCTGATGAATCTACCGATAAAGGCGCAATTAAACGTTTAACTTTAGTGGCACGTATTTTTTATGAACATAAAATTACTGACTTGTTCTTTGGTCTATTGCCCGTAGCAGATGCAACGGCCGAAGGACTTTACAATACTATTGTAAATTGTTTCTTAAAACGTAATAATAATTATAAAGATGGTGCAATTGCTGTGATGGAAATTCATAATTCATTATCCACCAAATTAAAAGCCGATATTCCTAGTTTATTCATTATACATTTTTAAAAGATTAACTGAATTTGAAGAATTTCAGGAGTTTGTAGCAGTAAAACCTCATGAAATTTTACAACCTTCTCAAACAAGGTGGTTGTCTGTATTGCCTGTTGTAAAAAGAATACATGATGCTTTAAAATTATATTTTACAGATCAGCCTAATGATTTGTTTAGAAGAATGGATTCGTCAATGTACAATAAAACTCAAAATTAAATTATAATAGCTACTTTTGATTATTTTGCTTTATTGTTTTCTTAAATACAAAATATTTTGTTATGCTATGTCCGTTCGTAATTTTTTTTATAGTTTTTATAATATGCATACTTAAGTTATCATGTATTTTAGTTTATAATATATATTATAAGAAATACCTGTTACGTTAATTAAACTAATTATACGTAAAAAAATTGTTTGCATTTGTTTATCAATACTCCTACCCCAAATTTCAAACAATATTAAGATGAATATTAAATATCTAAAATTAATTCTAAAATAAACATGGTTCTTATAAACTGTTAGGGAAATCTAGGGAAATTTTGGCAAAACATCTAGGAAGAAAAAAATTATGGTCTGGCAGCACTGCCGCGCAGTAAGTCGCTGAGTGAAAGAGTCGCTGAGAAGGAGCCGATGAAGACGACGACGCGAGCTACAATAGCTATGCAGCACATAAATACAAGATCTTGGTTGTTGTTCTGCTAATATAGTTGTTAGTCGGCACACATTGTTCGTCTGTGACCCCAAACCCCCGTCCCACAATAGTATGACATATTATGTTTAGAAACAGTTAGAGCAAAGTAGACGTGTCTCAGATATTTTGTAAGATGTTATGTTAGTAATAGATCTGCCTTTACAATGTTTGGATACTGGAAATTAGATAGCTACTCGAATGAAGCTAGTCGGGAGAGAGAGAGAGAGAAGCGTGCGGCACCATGCGTGTATCAGAGAGAGTGCGTCCTATGCTGGGTTGCCAAACGTTACACTATTTTCTTGAATAGTGGTACATGGTGGAAATAAGCTTTATTCTGTTTTCACAGGCCCAAATGATGGTTTTGTTTTAAGTATAGACATCTCTGAATCGCGAAGTGTGTCGAATTGGCTCAAAATTGATTTCAGATCAGTCTTAGCAGTTCTCCGATTTTAGGTGGAACTGCAACATTGCATAATATTGTTCATGCTTTTGATACATATAGGGCCGATTTCACCAACATTAATATTATCGACCAATGGGAAAATACCTTATCGAAATGCAATTCGACAGAAGCTGTCAAAGGTCTCTGAATATTAGTGATTTCTATTGAAATATTGAATAACATCGTGAAAATTCGACTGTATTATAAACAAGCGCACTTTTTGATGCTTTTGTACAGAAAAAACACGACAACATTCATGTATTTTGATATATGTTACAGGTTTACATTTAACAATCCGTTATCCCCCTCAGCGAATGGGAATGCGGTCGAGTTCTACCAAAGAGCCATTCATTTCGGCTGGTCGGAGTCCAGATCACCGAGGACCTGATCTGGCACGAACACATCTCTTCAATACCTGCAGCTGCTGGGAAAAAGCTAGGCTATTTGTTTAGGGCTAAGAAGTACTTTTCTCTGCATGACCTTCTCACTCTATACAAGGCCCAGATAAGGCCTAGCCTCGAGTATTGCTCACACATTTGGGGTGCTGCCGCCCCGACTACATTGTCCATGCTCGATGCTGTCCAGAGGAGGGCGGTCCGACTGATCGATGACTCTTCTCTAACAGACAGTCTCGGGACTCTTTCGCACCGGCGGGCCGTCGGCGATCTAGCTCTTTTCTATCGCTACACCAACGGGCTTTGCTCCTCAGAGCTCTCTTCCATGATGCCGCCACGCCATGTGCCTGTCAGACAGACCCGCCTGACTTCGGCGTCCCATCCTAACCGTGTCAAACTTCGTGGTGTTCCGGCATTTAGGCTTCTGCCTGCGCGGCTGTTTCGATATATAAAAAAAAAAAAATAATAGGTCGATTTTCTAGGTGTTAAATTTGGCAGCAGATTTGGACGTTTGTTAATGCATGGCACTCTCGAATTTACCAACTTCTGAAAGTTATCATTACATACCTGTTGAATAGTGTGGATTTGTCTGTATTGCAAGAAAATAGAATATAAAATACATTCCATCCAATTCCTCATCTTCCTTTACGTCATAATAGTAATCATTTATTAATTTATGGGTTAATTAATTTCTTCAAAGCAATAAAAACATTATGTCCTCTCCATCCTAAATCACAGATAATATGTGTAAGACGTGTCAATCCCTACATCTCCCTGATGCATAATGCAATTACTGTGGACATAGACAAAAAATTGTGACAAATGTTTCACAGATAATGGCTTTTAAGTCCAAATATCAAAAAAACTAGTAACGTTTATTGTTTGCCTATTATTCTTTTTTGACCGGCGGGGATATCTATCTGTCACTCGCGGGGTTGCCAAGCCTAACGACGATCACGTCCCGTGGTGGAGGGTGCGAAATAAATCTTTTACATTTGCTGGTTCTGAATTTTTTTCGTGAAAATTTACTAGGCATCATGATTATAAGCATCTTTGGTGGGAAAGATCTCCTATTTATGAAAATATTTTTGGTATCATCTAACCGTTGCAATCAGTGCACAAACACATATGATTTATAGCATAACCCGCTGCCCTATCAATACAAATTTAACATACAGGACGCCTAGCCGTGGGGATGCAGTGGTCGGGATGAACATCACGGCAGCAACTGATGATTTGGGCATGTCTGGTAAGAACGTATGAAGTAAAACTCGATAACTTCACAAATTTGAAGATTTCGTAACAATTTATTTGAAAATGATGAAAGATATGTCTGATTTGGCAGGGTAATGTCGCAGCCAAATGGCAGTCACTCTTTCTAACACAGTCCGGATGGAAAGATGACGATACTCGTGAAATGTATTGATACTTCTAAATATAGGATCCTATCGAACATCCCTACTGTCAAGATGTATAACCCAAGGTACCGACGGAGCTATTTTGTTTCGTCATGGACATAATTTTAAATTTTCATTTGCATTTTTTCAAGTGTTGTGCAATCATTTTGGGAAAAATGTCACGAATAGTCTTATAAAGCATAGTAGAGTATATAACAGTAGGCGGAACACACATGTGTCACTCCTTGAAATGCAATAATCAGCTGTATTCAAATAATGTCTAATATAAATATAATGTGTACTCGTGAAAAAAGAAAAATATGGCAAATTTGTAGTTTTTTTTGCAGGTTTTACAGGTTTGCTGGTAGCTTCAAGGCATATATTTGGGAATTACTTAATCTCTGTGAATATAGTGTGGATGTTTGTTCAGTTCCTGAACAATGAAAAATATTTAACTTTATGGATGTATGGATATCAAAAAACCTGAATGGTTTGTGGGAATATCAATCTAAGGTGCCATAATGGTTCTGATGAACGGCAAGTAAATGAATGAATGTTTGGAAACGAGCAATATCTTTTGGTAGAGCCTGTCATCAAGTAGGTGCTTAATGGCTATCTGCAAGAGTTTTATAGGAAAAAACACCCAGTATGACATATCAATTGAAGAAAATAATATAAACATGAATAAAAACTCAAAAATAGTAATTAAAACATGAATTTAGTTTAAAAATCAAACATTTCTTAACATTTTATGTAATTTCTTAATATTCAATAAGCTGGTGATGTTTCAATGACAAGTTGTCATCTCATACTTTGACAGTATTTTGTTTTCAACAATTCATAGCTGTTGGTTGCTAAAATTTGTTGATTGGAACTTGAAGCTCATTCGCGGTATCTGACGGTCTGTTACCCTATAGGTGGAGAATAATGGACTGTTGTTGGTGAAGTGGCCCTTAGTCTGTTATATATCCTGAAATTTTCTACAATTCAAAAAAAACATAGTCTCAAAATAGGAGAGCACTGACTCTGACACGCTGATGTATTCACAATATCCATTTTTATTAGAATTTCGATTGTATGGAAGTTTGTATGGAATCTGATGCGAGTCGTCTGTCCATTGTGGGTTGGCATATTCAATGAGTTCAAATTTCAGTAACACGCGCTGCTACTGCAAGTGAACATGATGTGAAGGACAGCTGGCTCCAAGTTGACATCTTTTCGTAAATCCTACATAATGTAAAAAAACCTACATAATGTCATGAAAGGTGTCACTTTTTAAGTTACGTAATACAAAAACGGTAATGGCACTGGGCTATCATGAATCTATGGAGGTGAGAGCCTTGCGTTGGAATGTACCGAGATACGATTGCATAATTCGTGGCGATCCTGAAG